TCATTCATGTTGTACACATCTGCTGCTTTAGAATGAAGGGTTGTATAAGCCGCGAAACCCCACCCGCCGATGGGGGGAGGGGGGGAAATTCTGGGAGTTGAAGTCCACTCATCTTAAAGTGGCCAAGTTTGGATAACACTGGGTTAATTCAACTTATTAAATTGTTTAATGTTAGGCAGTTCAAATTCATAAACCAAATTATCAAATTTCATTTGTGCTTATTATTAGCATTACTCTTTATCCTTCAGTGACTAACATGCACTGCCTTCACTTCTTTGTCTATCTAAATAAGGCCACAGAGAGGGTTACATGTTCATTATTTTTTCAGGTTGCTTGGACAAACTACAATGATAGGAAATCCAAAATTCATCATAAATAAAAAAAATTAAAATTTACAGGGAAGCAACAGCCTATTAAACATTTCAAAACATCCATGAATGTGTGTCATCAAAAAACCACTTGGCCTTCCATTGAAAAAGATTTTGTCCTGCAATCCCACATGTCCACTAGTACTACTGGGAGTATTTTTAGTTTTGCAGCTTCATTGCCAGCCCACCTCAACTACCTTTCTTAACAGTGAAAAGTGAAGTCAAAAGTCCATGGCTGCTCTGATGAAACTGATTATCTGAATTCCTTTCAACATGGATGCAATCCCTGTTTTAATTATTTGCTTGCTTCTATAAAGTACATTTTTCTTTAAATCATCCCATCCCTGTGAGGCAGATGAAATGTATACATGCAATTTTTAAAAAGTAACCATCAAATAAATTGAAAACAGGAGTCTCAAAATTGTTTGAAAATCAGCAGGACCTTGAATGTTTTATTTAAGAAAACAAGTTTGTAAATTCCAACTTTTTAGCTAGATGTATGCCTGAAAGTGCATCACAGTTACCAACCGTGGCTTTCTTACAGAATATGCAAGTAAAATGTATTTGAATGCTTAATAAAGCCATATTGCACCATGCCTTGATAAGCTTTTTTTTCCCCCTTAGTTTTCTCAATTAATAAAACTCAATTAAAAAAAAAATCAGTAGTAAAGATGGCAAAAGACATTTGGATGCCTGAGGCAGAAACTCCAGCTGGTGCCTCCACAAATATGATAATGAACTGAATAATCAAGAGTGCGATGTATTTGAAGGAGATGACTAAGTTCTTCCACTTCTTTCCTTCTTTTTAATAAGTTCTACCACTCTTGAATTTTGGTTAGTTATAAGGAGTTTGATAATTGCTTCAGAAACTTGGAGTGTATATATAATTTGGACAATTCTTCAGGTATTTTAATTGTTTCCTATATTATGACTTAGTTGGTAAGAGGCTTCTAGGTCAAAAAACGCTGAGGTGTTGTATGTACAATTGCTTCAAGATTTTGAGGGAACATTGTTTTCCTGATATAAAGTTTTAAGGATAAAATCCATCAAGAATGTTTATATGGCAACTTATTAAGAAACGAATGCAGATTCATAACATACTGGGGAGGTACAAGTGATCTGAAACATTGAAACTGAAAAATGATCAATAGACTACTTTCTGTGAGCCATCAGTTCCATTTTGGAGGCACCATCAGATAATTTAAAATTATGGATAACTAAAGCAAAGTTTGGGTAGTAAAAAGTTGGGAGCATTAGAACTCAGAAGTGGGCTATATACTCCAAAGTGGCAGAAGATAGTGCAAGATAAGCTGCCATCCTTCTCTAGTTCTCATTTCTTACCATTAGCTATAAGAGGTTATTTAAATGATAGAAATAAATTAATTTCATCAATGTCAGAAACTTTGGCATTTCTACCCATATAGTTAAAAAGACAGGAAAACAAAATTGGCCAAGTTACTCATTCATAGTATGTGAACAGGCAGGCACTTGGCCTCTTGTCCTTCAGGCAACTCAACTGGAAAATTGAAAAAGTAAAATCTCACTGAAAAACCAGATGCTACATCTGTACCAAGATATCCTGAGCAAATAAATTACAAATGTATAATTAAATTAAAGGACATTGGCTCATTATGAGTTAACTGCTCAAGTACTTGTTGTTTTTAAAAGATGAATGTTTGGCTAACTCTAAGACTTCTTGATGAGTCCAGATTGAACCCAACTCATCATTTATTAGATTTATTTAGTCAGGGAGTAATAATTACCCATGTTTATCAAATCTTGGCACCATGGAAGAGGTCAATGACTGCAAATGGAGCAATGAGGCCAGGAATGCTGCCAACTCCCTACAATTGCAGTCCCCCAATGGATTTTTCCTTTCAGCATTGTTTGCCGCTGACAAGAAACAGCATTCTTTGGGATGAACATCAGGACAGGATGTCAACTTTTCAGAACCTGTAGCCATTCCCAGGATGAACTACTTCAAGGTCCTATTGTTTTTCAAGGACATTCAAGCAAGCCAGGAGTAACAGCAAGTTTTCAATCAGGTCTCTATGGGATAGCTGCCCTTGTCTTAGTCCTTCCACTCATATGTTCAGCACCATATAGTTCTTGCCAAAACTGGCACAAAACACACCTTGACCATTATTTTACATACTTTATGACCAGGCCATCTGAGAATAAATGTCATCTTACTGCCCAAAGTATAAAACCATTGGCTCCAAAACAAAACTGTATAGGATTTACTTATGTTTATACTATGTGTTAACAGTGGAAAAAACCCACCATTCCTTATAGAAAAAGATGATTTGAGATTCAGTTGAATTATGTAGAATCTGGTTGTTTTGGTACAGAGCATTACAAGTGCTTTGCATCCCAAATGATATTCTGCTAAAATGTAGACAAATTGGCTAATTTCCTGAATATCTCTAATTGCAACTCAAGCAAGCTGCTTACTTGGACAACATTCAAACAAGTTTTGAAACAATATTGAGAACTGTGATGGGGACCCATGACCTTTCAGATGTTGCTGCACAACTTCTCCCAAGAGTAAGGAATGCTTAAAGTTACAGATCACTAACATTTGGAGGGTCACAGGTTCTCCATCCAAGACTAAAAAAACTTTTGAATTATCTAACCAAATGCAGGCTAACAAGGAGACTCCATTCTCTACAAAGACAAGAAAATGGCACCACAAAGCAGACATCTTATTACTTAGGAAAGATTAAAAAATAGGAACATCTCAATACTAACTGAAACACTTTATTTTAATTTCCAGTCATGGCACTTTTGATCACCTTCCTGCTATGTGCTTAACATAGGTTGTTATGCTTTAGGACTTGTCCCTGGATGCTATTTGTTCTGCTTCAGGAATATTTCTGAAAATTCCAAATTGCCCTCTATCAAGTATGTAGTCTGTATGATGTACTGTTCCTGTGCAGCCACTCAGTTCATCAATCTTAATTTTGGGGGTCAATTGCAATAAACTGGGGAAGGGGAGAGTGATTCAGAGGCTGAACATTGCAGCAGCTGTAGTATACTTGAATGATAAAGCACAACCTTCTTTTGAAACTAGCCACCACACAGCTGCTTCTATAGATGGACTGGATATTATATTTACAACCATGTTTATACAAAAGCCACTATATTTGACTTAAGTTCTTCAATCACTGTGACATCAGTGACATTTGGATTACATGCTCCGTAGGAATTGGCTGAAGAATTATCTACTATTCTGCACATGTTTCTTAGGCACTGCACAATGTTAAATAAATAAATAAAGGCAAGAATCCACATAATTTTTTTTTTAAATGCCTCTCATGTTTATTTTATAAATACCCAGGCGCATGAAGAAAAGGTATACTCTGATACTCAGATAAGGATAAAGAGAAAAGGTAATTAAGATGTGATAACATAGCCATTTTCAAATATTTGAAGGGCTGCCAGATAGATGGGGTAGCAATGCTGTCCTTTTTTGCTCCAGAGAGCAGAATCTGAACCAGTATGTTCAGTG